ACCTGGTGCACAGTGTCCCCCCTTATCTGAGGTTTCATTTTCCAAGGCTTCAGTTTCCTGAAATTAAACTAGGTTAAAATTTTTTCATAAGATACTTAGAGAGAGATCACAGTTACACAACTTTTATTACATTACATTGTTGTGATTTTGATTGTCCTGTTTTTAAGTTATTGTTCTTGATCACATAGTGCCTAATTTATAAAGTAAATGTATCATATGTATGTATGTGCAAGGAAATCTACGTGTATAGAGGGCTCCATGCTATTGGTGGTTCTGGTATTCACTGGGGGTCTTGGAATACCTCCCACGTGGATAAAGGGGGCTGCTGTACTAGGATTTGCATTTAGGCCATATAATAGGTGTGCATTGCGTGTCCATGTTGCTTTAATTTGCACTTGCATTTACATATGTCAGAGTTTCTGTTCATATGCCTAATTGCCATCAATGCAGTCCTTAGAAACTGCTCAAAGTTTTGCTCAATTTTAGAAAGTTGTTTGTTCCTTGTTGAATTTTAAGGGTTCCATGGATATTCTAAAATATGTATTATATTAGTCATATTTTGCAAATATTTTCTCCTGGTCTGTGGCCCAAGCTCTTTTACAGACCTAACACATCAATGCATACATAGACTTTTCTGGGAAGAGAAATGAGAAGTTGCTGACTGCACTGGGTTCAGAGTAGAGAAGACTTGGTTGATTAAGGATGATGTGACTTATGTATTTGTGTATGTTCTTGAGTATTTATGAATCCTCTGTGTGAGTGTGAATAGCAAATATTAGTTATTATCAAAATCATTTATCAGAAATAAATTACACAATACCTGACACTATCAAACACTTGGCAGATCCCCCTCAGTCACGTGTTCTCAGGCTCTGAGCCTCTTCTGTAGGACCCGCCATCTTGTCACTTGTGGACTTCTAGTGAGTCCTGCATCTGGGACGTGACGGTGAGGGAAATCAGACACGGGGGACTGTCATGTCCAGCATGCAGTAAATCTTTATTGTCTTAGTGCTCATTATATATTATTTTAATTGCAGCAGGTGTAACATCAAAGCATATCATATACTGACAACACATATGAATGATTAGTCTACTTTCTTACTATTATCTATTTACTTCAGACAGTAGGGTACCAGGTGGTTAGTTCTCACGCATATAATCTTATCGCCCCCTAGCCAGAGCCTGGGAAGTTCACTCATTATATTTGTTATTCTAAGACTGTGGAGATGTAGAGGCATGACTCCACACAGGTCACTTTCCGGGCACTCAACACCAGGTCCTGTCACTCAGAGGTTTTCCTCCGAGATGCATGTGTTTTCACATGCCTTTGGGACTCAGGTCAAGGCCCTTCTGCTCACTGCGTGGGGTCTCTCCCAACAGTCACTGAATGATTTTGCCTTAGAATTTCTACCTGACAAAGGTGAGCTGGATGGACAGACACCTTCCCACTGAAAAGAGCTAAAAATGTGAGATATGTATGAGATACAAAACCATCTTCTTAAAAGCATTAGAACCGAAAATATAGTAATGAATGCCCACACACAGTAGAGAATGGGGAAACCCTACGTGGGCCCCACAGAAAACAGCATCTTGAGGAGGGAGGAAGGGCTGCGAGGGCCCCACCCAGAGCAGACACAGAGCCCAGCCCTTCAGCTCTGTGCTGAGCCTGACGACCACCACCCGCCGTCCCTTTCAAAATTTAGGAAGACTTGCTTTATTCTGGTTATGATGTGTGTGTATAGACACATATATATGGTACAGTTCTTAGGATATAGTCTGTATTCACTATTAAAAAAAAAATGTTGGGCCTCCCCGGTGGCACAGCCAATTGAGCACAGCACTTTGAAGCTGTCCACAGCCTCTGCAGCGTGGGTTTGATTCCTGGGTCAGCAAGGGAAACACTCACATGGCGCAGCAGATCTCTCCTGGCTCACCCATTCCTCCCCTCAGCAGTGTATTTCAGTCAGTCTGCCTGTTCTGTTCCCTGCTCTGTCTCTGGTGAATTTTCTCACCCTCCAGCACATCTGCCCTGTACCCCAGGTCTTGCATGCATAAATAAATAAGTCTTTAAAAAAAATTAAAATGTTACAATCAAAGCATTTTCAGACCAAGAGGGAGTAAAAAACAGTGGCAGCTGTTGTTAACAATGAGAAACAGAAAAGCATGGAAATGAAGCCTCATGTTTGGTAATGACCTATCATTGTCAACCTTCCCCAGGCAGGGCCAGCACCTGAGCCCAGAGGAGAAGGGTTGCACAGGAGAGAGCAGGAGGGAGGGATCAGGGACATGGACAGAGACCACCTGTCCAGTATGAAGAGCTGTGGGGCCCTGGACAGGGAGGCTCAGAAAAGCAGGGAGCATCTTCTCAAGCCTGAGAGAAAGAATCTGGAGACAAAGGAAACCCAGTTTCTGATGACATAGAGCACATAGAAGTCACTTCTGCCCCAATCCAAAGTACTATGTCTCAAGGAAACTAATTTGTATGAGGTGAATTAGACCTTTTGGGAGGGGGGCACTACTATCTTTACTTGAAGGGATGGATGACAAAAACTATCATTATTTAGATTTGGTTATTTTGTACACACTTTCTAGAAAATGAATGTGAGCTGTCCCTTTAAGAAAATCAACTGACAGTTGATAAATGATAGTAATTAACTGCCTTGATAAAGTGCAAGCTCCAGGTGAAAACCAGACAGTGAAAAATTGTGTCCCATCACTGTAAACTTGACAACTTCCAGTAGCCACTTACTTTTCTTTGGGGATTTTTGGAACATAAAACATGTATGATTTTCAAAATTTGATTCTAGAATAATTAGCATAAATATCAGGTGAAACAATGCATCACTGTTTTTTAAATGACTCTTTTTTTTTTTAAAGATTTATTTATTTATTTATTTATATAAGCACTGGGTAGAGTCAGAAGCATGGGAGGGTAAGAGAATTCATCAGAGCCAGAGCGTGGAGCAGAGCAGGCAGACTGACGAAATACACTGCTGAGGGGAGCAGCGGGAGGCAGGAGAGGTCTGCAAGCCGTGTGGGACCCTCCCCGGTTGGCCAGGGATCGAACCGGTGCTGCAGAGGCTGTGGGCAGCTTCACAACCCAGTGCTCAACCGCTGCGCCACCGGGGAGGCCCTAATGCATCACTTTTTTTTTTAATTAATAAACTTTATTTTTATATTCCGCATACAATTGCAACCCCCTTATTTTGACCCCAATCCCTCCCCTCCCCATTCTCCACCCCCCATAGAGTGTCTCTGGTTCATAGTTGTTTGTTGATTTTGATTTTCACTTTCTTATAGTTATTCATTTTCCTGGTCCCTTATTTAAGTTTTCTAGATTCCTGCTATGAGTGAGACCATCCGGTATTTTTCTTTTTCTTTCTGGCTTATTTCACTGAGCATGATCCCTTCCAGTGCCATCCATGTTGCTGCAAATTGCATGTGTTTATCTTTTTTGAATGCTGAGTAATTTTCCATGGTGTATATGGACCACATCTTCTTGATCCAGTCATCTATTTTTGGGCATTTGGGTTGTTTCCAAAGCTTAGCTATTGTAAACAGTGCTGCTGTAAACATAGGGGTGCAGGTGCTCTTTGCAATTGATGTTTCTGTGTACTTTGGGTAAATACCTAGGAGTGGAATTGCTGGATCATATGGAAGCTCTATGTTTAGTAGGTCCAGAAATCTCCACACAGCTCTCCATAGTGGTTGGACCAGTTTGCACTCCCACCAACAGTGCAGGAGAGTTCCTTTTTCTCCACACCCTCGCCAACATTTGTTGTTGCTAGTTTTTTTAATATTTGCCATTCTCACTGGTGTGAGATGGTATCTCATGGTAGTTTTGATTTGCATTTCCCTGACTACAAGTGATGTTGAACATTTTTTCATATGCCTGTTGGCCATTTGCATTTCCTCTTCAGAGAAGTTTCTTTTTAGCTCTTCTGCCCATTTTTTGACTGGATTATTTTCTTTGTTGTTGTTGAGTCTCATCAGCTCTTTGCAGATTTTTGTGATCAGTCCTTTATCATTAGTGTTGGGTGCAAAAATGTTCTCCCAGTCGGTGGGGCTTCTCTTTGCTTTGGTTATTGTCTCTTTTGCTGTGCAGAGCTCTTTAATTTGACTAATGCATCACTTTTTAAAGTCATGTATTAGTTCAAGATTAATAATCAGTAGAGGCCTATGGAATTAATATAACAGAACAGAAAACATCCAATGATACTCTTCTACCACTCACTTTGTACATAATATTTGAAAAACCACCACTTGTATAGTTTCAATTTATTGCAGAAGTGGAACAAAGTTAAATAGTCACAATTATGTGAAAAGTACTTAAAATGCTATTTTCACATATTTCAGAGAGGCTGTATAGTTTTCCATCGGCCAACCAAAACAAAGAGTAAATGCAGGAGAAACTATGACAATCCAACATGCTTCCAGTGAGAGAGAGAAGAAAAATTGCAAAAATATAAGCTGTAAAAGATCCACTCATGACCCTGATTATTTTCATTAAATATCTACATTTCTTTAAGACACTTGGAACAAACATTGGGTTATTAATATTATTCTAAATTAAATGAAAATATCTTTAAATTGTTTTTATTCCTCATGTAGCAAATACTGAGAGCTTTAACCTCCTAAACTTATACTTGGGTTCTGGCTAATTTGTAAAACTGCAGAGATCCTGAAACAAAAAAGCTTAAAAAATCGCTGCCCCAGTCCCGGGCCTGGACTCAGGGAGGCAACAGTGTGGCAATGGCCTTGGAGCAGGAGAGGAGGGGAAAGCAAAGACCCACGTATCTGGTGTGGTTCTCAGTGTCTCAGCCCTGTGGGCTGTGCAGGGGGCAGGGAAGGTTACTCTTGGGGATTCCTCATCTCCCCACGTTTTCACATCTCTCTCCCACAACAGGTGTCAAGACCTCCTTTGAATACTGGTGTGTCACCCCCAGTTCTCACTCCCCATTGCCTGGAGGTCTCCAAAGACTCCAATCAGCATCACAGCTGCAACCAGTGTGGACTCAGTCTCCCCAGACTTCACGAGAACCCGTCATGAGGCCCCCAACTCTCCTGCTGCTGCTCTCGGGGGCCCTGGCCCTGACAGAGACCTGGGCAGGTGAGTGCAGGCTTTGGAGAGAAAAGGCCACTGAGGACGGGGGTAGTAGACGAACCCCAGGCGGGGGCAAGGCCCCAGGAAAGACTCCTCACCCCCACTGCTGACCCTGTTGTCCCCCTTGACCCCACCCTGCCCTGACCCCTTTCTGTCCCTCTCAGCCTCCAGCTGCCCCTCTGAGTCTGCAGCCTTCTCATCAGCTGCCCCATTTCAATCTCAGGAGCCCCCTCGCCCTCCTCCCCTCCTGCCCCGTCTCCCCGGGACCCACAGGAGGAGGGTCAGCCCGGGTCTCCCCTCCCGCCCCCAGGCTCCCACTCCCTGAGGTATTTCTCCACCGCGATGTCCCGGCCCGGCCTCGGGGAGCCTCGGTACGTGGAGGTGGGCTACGTGGACGACACGCAGTTCGCGCGGTTCGACAGCGACTCCCCGGGCCAGAGGATGGAGCCGCAGGCGCCCTGGATGGTGCAGGAGGGGCAGGAGTACTGGGCGCGGGAGACGCGGAGAGCTAAGACCAACGCGCAGTCGATTCGAGAGAACCTGCTCACCCTGCGCCGCTACTACAACCAGAGCGCGGCCGGTGAGCGGGGCGGGCCCGGGGCGCTCACGACCCCACCCCCGCGGGCGGGCGGGACCCCAGACCCCGGCCCGAGCGTCCCCCGAGGCAGGGGGACCCGCCGGACCCTCGACCCGGGACGAGCCCCGGGACGTTCCCCGCGAGGTTCCCGCGTCGGTTTCGGTTTATTCCCGGCGGGGGCGGGCGGGGTGACCGCGGGGTGACGCGGGGTGACGGGGCGGGGACAGGCTCTCACACCCTCCAGTGGATGTACGGCTGCGACGTGGGGCCCGACGGGCGCCTCCTCCGCGGGTACAGTCAGTCCGCCTATGACGGCGCCGATTACCTGGCCCTGAACCGGGACCTGCGCTCCTGGACCGCGGCGGACACGGCCGCCCAGATCTCCCGGCGCAAATTGGAGGCGGCGGGATACGCGGATCAGCTGAGGAACTACCTGGAGGGCACGTGCGTGGAGGGGCTTCGCAGAGACCTGGAGAACTGGAAGGAGACGCTGCAGCGCGTAGGTAAGACGGGCCGCGGGTCTCCCAACCCCCCTCAGGCCGGCACTCGGGGAGTCAGGGTCACAGCAGCGCCCCCTGTCTAGTCAGGGGGGGAGGATCCCCCCTGGGTTTCCTGACTGCCCAGAGGACCCCACTTTTCCTCAGAACAGTTAAGGAATCCAGTCTCTCCTGAGCCTGAGGGGAGACCAGCCCTGGAATCACCCTTCACCGGATCCTTCTGACCCGGCAGCCCTCTTGGGAACCATCAGTTTCTCCCTCAGGGTCTTGTTACTGGTCTGAGGACATTTTTCTGATCTGACTCCTGCATTTCTGAGTCTCCAGGTCAGGAGCAAAAGTCTGTGCTCTCCTCCCTAGAGAACTGCGTCCTCCTATCCAGAGTTGTCCTCCTAATTCTAGAACTTTCTAAGGAATAAGAGATTATCCCAGACTCCCCAGACCAGGCTGGTTTTTAGATTTTGTGCTTCCTCTTTCCTAACCCACTGCCCTGTCCATTCTGAGGATGGTCACAGGAGGGTTCTTCAGGGTCCATGAGAGAAAAACCCAGAGTGTGTAAGTTCCACCCTTCTCCTCAGATGCCCCAAAGACATACGTGACCCACCACCCCATCTCTGAGCATGAGGTCACCCTGAGGTGCTGGGCCCTGGGCTTCTACCCTGCGCACATCACCCTGACCTGGCAGCGAGATGGGGAGGACCTGACCCAGGACACGGAGCTGGTGGAGACCAGGCCTGGGGGGGACGGAACCTTCCAGAAGTGGGCGGCTGTGGTGGTGCCTTCTGGAGAGGAGCAGAGATACACGTGCCATGTGCAGCATGAGGGGCTGCTGGAACCCCGAATCCTGACTTGGGGTAAGGAGGGGAACGTAGCACAGAGCTTCTCAGGGGCATCAGGAGCCCTTCTGGAGACCTTCAGAGCATCAGATGGAGGCCTGGGGCTCAGGGTCTCCTCGTCCCTTCCCTTCCCTTTCCTTCCAGTGCCCCCTCCTCAGTCCTCCGTCCCCACCACGGGCATCATTGCTGGCCTGGTTCTTGGAGCTGTGCTCACTGGAGTTGCACTGGTGCAGCTGTGATGTGGAAGAAGAAGTGCTCAGGTAGGGAAGGAAGTGGGGGGATCATGTCCACGGGGGCTTTCAGGACGCAGGTAGAACTAGCCCTAGCTGGTAATGGGAAGTACCATTGTAGCAGCAGGATGAGCACAGGGCAGGTTCTCTATGACCCGAGCAGACAGGTGAAGGAGGAGTCCTGGAGCCCTTGGTGGCTTTTTTAGGCTTTTATTGAGTTTACCAGGTACACGGCAGGCAGGGGTATGGAGGAGGGGGCAGCGGGGGGGCTGGCAGGCCTCCCAGTCCCCGCAAATCTTCACTCTTTCTGGACTGTCCAGCGTTCTCTCGTAGCCTCTGCTTCTCTACTGGTGCTGCCCTCTCACTTGTTCTCCTTCTGGTGGTTCTGCTGGTCCACTGGCATCCCCGTGACACCGTCCTTATAAGCGCACTCTCAGCCCAGGTGATTCTCACCTACGTATGCCCACACCCTACTCCAGGTGCCCGCCATCAGGCATGCATTTAATCGAATGGCGGGAGTGCAAAAAGCCTGACACGGTTTTTACTTACCGTACAACCATCCACACACGTGTGTTGCCCAGTCTGGAGCTGATTACTAACCCTCTTTTGTAAAGCATTTTTGAAAATGAATCACATTGTTCACCTTGATAATTCTGGTGATGGGGCCCTGATTCCAGCAAACAGCAGAGGGGAAGGGCCCTGCTGAGGACAGACCCAGGAGGCAGTTGGTCCAGTCCCCTCTCATCTCCTTTCTTGGTATTTCTTGGTCCTGCCCTAACTGTCCAGTCACAGTTCTGGAAACTTCCCTGTGGTCCACACTTGGGGATTCCTTTAGGATTTCATAGCCTGGCTCCTCTCTGGTCTCACATGGTGCTTCTTCCCACAGGAGGACAAGGAGGAAGCTGCACTCAGGCTGCAGGTAAGTGTGTGTAGGGTAAATGATTGTCAGGCTTTTCTTGCCATTAGGATTGATGATGGATCCTTGCGGTCCTGAATGCATGCCTGATGGCGGGCACCTGGAGTAGGGTGTGGGCATATGTAGGTGGGATTCACCTGGGCTGAGACAGGGCTTATAAGGGCAGCGTCTGGGAACAGAACCACCAGAAGGAGAACAAGCCAGAGATGGAAGTGAACACCAGAGAGAGCCCAGTAAAGTGGAGATTCGCAGGGGACTGGGAGGGTGATGGGGAAGCTGTGAGGGGGACATTCTGAGGATGCGGTGGACTATGGAGAATGTGACACTTGGGTGTTTCTTTGAATTCTTTTATGATCCTTTTCCTTCACAGTGTGAGCCAGCTGCCTTGTGGGGGCTGAGTGATGCAGGATTTCTTCTCATCCGCACTTTGTGACTTTAAGATCTTCTGGTTTCGTTTGCTGCAAAGGGCATCTGATGTGTTTCTGTTCTTAGTAGATAATGTGAGGAGGTGGGGAGACTGGCCCAGCCCTGCCCACCAGGCCCTCCCCACACTTACCTGTGTCTCTTCCTGATGACTTTCCTGCTCCAGCAGAAGTAGCTTAGTCTGTGTCTACCTGTCTTTGTGATTTCCTCAAGAATAGTAACTACTTCCCTCTTGAAATAATAATTGAGTTCTGAAATTACTGTTTGTAAGCTTGCCTGATGGGTTTGGTGGGCTAATAAAAATGATTCCTAAAATTTGAGATGAAATGAATAGGAAACCTTTCAGAATCACGTGTTTGCTGTGCTGAGTCTGGGCAGGTGGGGGCTGGAGAGGCTGTGAGGAGCCTAGGGGGACGGGGCCTGTGTCCAGTCGGGGTTCAGTGCATCGGGGGCTTTGACATGGTCACTCCTCAGGGGTCATCTCTCTGCTCCTTTGTCCTTGTCCTTCAGGAGCACCTGTCCCAGCAGGGCCTGTGATCACAGGGTCAGACCCTACCTGGCCTTGTGCTGTCATGTTTGAGCAGGGAGTGCTTGTGTGGCCGGGTCAGCCCAGGCTCAGCTCAGGGTCTAGCGTTCCTATGGATTCCTATTTTTTGTTTTGTTTTGTTTTTTTGCTTTATGCCTATTCTCTTTGATGTTTAGAGACCAGGCTTCATGTCTTCTTGGTCCCTGTCTCTGACAGCAGCAGGAGCATCTGTCATTGTCCCTACAAGGCCCAGGGTGTCCCCTGCATGCAGGAGTCTGATGAGATGGATTTCCAAACTCATCTGATTTTTGGCCTCATTTAGGACTTTTTTTGGATTATTCTTTCCATCTTTTCCAACAAAATCCTGGTATTACTAGAGAGGAGGATTTGATAATTTCCTGATGGATTTAGATAAGTTCCTGATAGATTTCTATTTTTCTCTACAGCTTCCCCCTGTAACCCTGCCCTTAAATGTAGTAACCCCAGTGCTGGTGCTAATCGCGACCCATGGGTTGATGGAGCCAGTTATTGTCATAGCTGGCTGAAAAATAGGACCCATAAGCCTAGGAACTTGGGCCTCCTTGGTGGAACATGGGTTAAGTCTCAGCGCTATCACCTCTGCACCCTGAGTTCAATCCCCAGCCAGGGAGCTACCCACTTACGATGCAGCAGACCTCTCCTGTTTTGCCCGCTGCTCCCCTTAGCAGTGTATTTCAGTAAATCTGCCTGTTCTGCTCCCCACTTTCTCTGGTGAATCCTCTTACCAACCCCACCCATACACTCCGACCTACACCCCAGTTCTTCTACACAAATATAAATAAATCTTAAAAAAAAACAACTACAAACCCCTTTTCAAAAGAAATACACCTGTGTAATGTGTCACATTAATAAAGACACTGTCTCTAGAATGGGGAAGTGGTCTACAATGATGACACAACTGATAACTGTTGCACCAGATGTGTGACTGACTGTTTATGCAACTCGGAAAACCCAATGAAATAAAAACACGCACAACTTGCAGCCTGAGGAGAGTGTGTCCTAGTGGGGAGAGGAGACTGGGGACTGTATGACAGCATATCAGACAGTAACCCACGCGTGTCTGGTTAGAAGTGGGTAAGGGATGTGGGAAGGTGACAGGATGGTTATCTTCCCAGCGTGGTCAGTGTGGGTCTCACTCAAGTGACCTTTGAGAAAAAGCTGATGGACATGTTGCCCACAAGGATGTGATGTGCAGGGAAGTTCAGTCCAGGCAGGACAACCTCCAGTGCAGATGCCCGAGCAGGAATGTATCTGTGTGACTGACATGAGCAAGGAGGCCAAGGACTGAGCAGAGGCCAATGGAGATGGGATCTGTGTGCACCTGGATCATTCAGGCCTGAGGATGTTGGGAGGGTTTGACTCTGAGTAAGATGTGGGGTGACAAGAGCTTCTGAACAGATACACACTTGTGGGACTTCTCTCTGGTAGCTCAGTCTGGCTGCTGTGCAGCATGGAAGGGGGAGAGGGGGGAAGAGAAATGGAGGAAACCAGTGCAGGTCCCAGGGCAGAGAGGTTGGGGGCTCGTTGAGGGTGAGCAGGGAAATAACAGGAAGTGATGGGACTGTGCATATGTAGACATGGACTTTACAGTGTTTCCTACTCCTGGGCTGTGAGAAAGGGTCAAGGATGACATTCGGTGTCTCAGACTGTGCAGGCAGAGAGGTGGAGCCTCAGTGACATGGGGAGACTCCAGAAGACCCATAATTGTGCAACCCAAGCATTCACTTTAGGAAAGTTGAATCAGATCTATTAGAATTGAAAGTGATGTTGGCAGTTGGACAGACGAATCTGGGGCACAGGTGAAATGTTTGAGGTAAGTAATAGACCTGGGAGATGATGTGATGTAAATGATTTTTAAGGTCTTGAGCATGTAAGGGTCACCCAGAAAGTGATTACTGAGCAAGAGAAAGGAGCAGAATTGGACCCCCAATTCCACAGTGATGTGTAATCTGAGCAGACACCCCTAGAGCCAACTGCACAGTCTGACCCCACATGGAGATGACATGGAGAACAGGGAGCCCCCACTTCAGTGAGCACAGGAGTCACCTGGACACTCATGAAGACTCAGAAGGTCTAGAACAGAGCCTGAGAGTCTGTTATGTGGTCCCTCACCAAACCTAGGGATGGAGAATTTAGGGCTGATGCTCAGGAAGAGGCACTTTCTTCCCTGGAAGCAGGAGCAAATCACAGGGACTCTGGAGCCCAAGTTCCCATCCAAAGAGATTGAGGGAAACTATAATTTGGGAACTCAGAACTGGGGGAGCAACTTTTATGACCTCGACACCTGGCTTTTCCCTGAGGCCTGTAACTATAGTTACTCACTTGGGAGGAAGTTTGAGGACCCTTAACGTGACAGCGACACTGTTCTCCCGCGGCCAACCAGGGAGCCTGGGGAGGGCCTGGCTGAGCAGGAGAAAGGGCAGCTCCGGTCTCCTGTGCTCAGCCCTGTGGCCACACGGGGGCGCTGCCGCGCTGTTCCGGATTCTGGTGGAGCCGCCAGGACGGGGCGGGGGCTGAGGTGGGCAGAGTTGGGGGTCCAGGAGGGCGGCGTCCTGGGAGTGAGATGCTCTGTGAGGAGTCAGAGAAGCAGGGCTCAGAGGAGAGGAAACTCAGGAGCCTCCCCTGTGTGTGAGGTTTCTAGCTTTTCTCCCAGAACTCCACTCTCTAGTCCCTTCAGTGCAATACCTCGGGAAATATATATAGTTTGTATAGTTTCCTTCTACAAACTATACTTTGTTGAGGGCTATTTTTTTAAATGTTATTTTAATTGAAAATTTAATTTCAAGCAATATTTTAAAAATACTGTTATATTCACAGACATGGCAAAGGTAGTAGAGTTCCTGTATAATCCACATCATTTCCAAATTGTTAACATCTCATGTGACCACAATGCATTTGAGCAGCTAAGGAAGCAATATTTAATGCACTTTCACTAAACACTGCGCTGTATTTGGATTTCATTTATTTTCCGAATATTCTTTTCATGCTCCCACATCTCACCAAAGACACCACATGAAGTTCCAACCATGTCTCCCTAGTGCCTCTGGCTGACAGTTTCTCAAAGTTTCCTCTGCTGATGACACCTGTGAGCAGAGCTGCTCAGGCACAATGGCCTCCATTTCAGGCCATCCTCCATCAGCACATCAAGTGTACAAATATGCACTTTTGTTTTTCTTTTCTTTAGTTATTGTTGTCTTTGGAAGGAAGTCACTATGGGCAGCTTGCACTTAGTGGGGGTTCTGCTATAAACATTTACTTATGTGCAGGGTTTTTGTTTTGGTTTCTTTGTTGTTTTGCAAATGCAAGTTTTCAGATTAGTTAGGTAAATAGCAGGGACAGTGCTCGCTGGACTGTATGGTTGTTCTGTGTTTGGCTTTAAAAGAAATATCAGGTCATCCCTAGTGACTGGGTCATCCTATCCTGCCAGCAGTGATGAGGGGTCCTGTGCTGCAGTCAGCACTGGGTGTGGCCCATTTTAGGGGGCCTTTTGCCTTCTAATAAGCATGCAGTGGCATTACTGTTGTTTTTAGTCTTCTTTCCCTAATGACCTGTGATCTTGAGCATCACAGTTATCTGGCATCTGTATCCTTCAGTGGTGAAGTCTTTTGTCCATTTTTGCATTTGGATCATTTCTTTTCTTATTGTTGAGTTGTAAGACTTCATTTATAATATCAATTCTAAATACAAGTCCTTTATCAGATACATGATCTGATTTACAATCATTTCTCCAACTCTGTGTCTTACGCTCTTGTACTAATATAATAGTAAACACTAATGACTAGATACAGGCATAGATATATTCTTCTGGAAAGAGAAATGATAAATTGCTAACTGGTTTTGAGCAGGTGGCCTGCCTTACTGGAGGGCTGTGGTGGGAAGAGGGTTATTCATTTAGCTATGCAAATTCTTGAGTATAAAATTTTCCTCTGTGCTCATGAAATAATACTTTCAAAATCAAATCCTACTAAAATCCCTTCAACTGCATAATGTCCTAATCACATGCTAAGCCCAGAGCGGCACGTCTGTCATGTGATGAACCTGCTCATCATCATCTCTCACGGCCGTGGCTGCACATTGGGGTCACTCTTGGCAGTGTCCATGCTGTGACTTTTAGACAAATGTACAATGACGTGGACGCCATATTGTGTCCTACACAGTAGACTCACTGCCCTCAATATCTTCTGTGCTCCAAGGAAACAGAAGCAAAGACAGACCAGTGGAGACACATCAAACTGCAAGCTCCTGCCCAGTGAAGGAAACTGTCATTAAATGTAAAGACACCCTATGGGGAGGGGGGAGAAATAATTTGCACATCATACATCCAAGATACACGAATAATACATATGACTCAACACCCAGAAAACAACCCAATCAAAAATGGTGAGAGGAGCTAAGTGGACACTTCTCCAAAGAAGATGCAGATGGCCACACGCACATGGAAAATGCTCCCATCACACGTCATCAGGGGATGCAGATCAGAA